CGTTCAAAAATTATCAAAATAATAAAAATCTTTTAAAAGATTTTGAAAATTCAAAAATTTTCATGTCATGCGGCCGCATTTGCCAGCAGAAGTAAAGATCATCATAAAATGCATCGCATATGTCCATGTCCGTTTATGTGTCGCCTGACACCCACATCACCGACCTTTTCAGTTGAATGTTGTGGACGTACTCTGTACTATACAATCTTACTTTATATATTTATTTTAGGGAGTCTCTAATTGAGGGGAAGAAAATAAAGAGAGTTTGGAGCTCTAAATGACTTCCTCTTAGGACGAGGACAACATTACTAATTTCTTCCTCGCTCTTCTAACAGACGACTAGTGGTTAAATTTTCATCATCATGGATTTGGCCACCACTAAAGCCCTAATTTTTGTTGTGTCTACCAAATATTTTAATTCTAAATCACAAAATAAAGAAATGTTGATGTGCATGTTGAGTTACCCAATCAAGCAAACTAGAACTAACCAACAAAGGCACATGCCACCCATGCCTTCACCTTAGATCCATCCATGAAGCACATCCAACATTATTGTTGATCAAAGGTACGCCAAAGTCATCAAACTCACTAAATGTTTTCAAATTGAGAGGGAGCATCATGCTCTATTTTTCTCTACTTAATGTCATATGTTGGAAGAAAAAGGAAGGGGTACTTGAAGTCAATTGATTTGACCAAGATTAACATCATGGGATAAATGAATGAACTAGTTTTCCAAGTCAATTAGAATAGGTTCGATTTGTCCCACATCAAAAAAACAGACTAGTAGTTAGAATTTCATCATCATATTTAACTATTTATTGTCAATTATATCGGTTGTTTAGTTGATAAATAGCTGTATCAATCACTATTTTAAAATATAAATGTATTATTATCATGATGATAATTATTGATTTTATTTGTTTATCTTCACATATCGAAATCAAGATTATAAATTTTATGAAGAAAAATTTACATACATACCATCAATTTTTATGCGTTCACATATCTAACAACTAAAATTCAATTTTTACATAAATACATATAATATATTTACCTGTTGTTGATATATGGATCGATATATGGACCAATATCCCTGTTGTGAAAAACGACGACAATAAAACAAAAAATGAAACGAGAAAAGTTGCACGCAGAAAAACACCATAGCGACACACAGATTTATGAGGTTCAGCAAATTTGCCTACTTCCACGGAGCTGCAAAATATTTTATTTCTTCAAGAAATTACACTGTCGAGCGCCTCAACTTTTACAAAAAAATATTTATTTTCTTCTCTCTCTCTCTCTCTCTCTCTCTCTTCCTCTCCTTTTCTCTTAGATGACTTGACTTGATCTGGCTTGCTTATGACAAGTCATAAAGGCCATTTATAGAAACCAGGAGAGCGGTAGGTGAGAGGTAGGTGAGCGGTAGGTAGGATATGGTAGCGAGCGGTAGGTGGGAAGGTAGGTGAGCGGTATGTGAGATTCTTAATTAAGAAGCTAATTAAATTGCGGTGCACCGAATCTTCACATTACCTGACATATCCCTACATAACCCATTTAAAATTTATAATGATTAAAACTGATGCAATTTAAAGATATATTCATTTTATGAATTTAGATTAATTAATTTAATTTAACTATAGCAACTAAAACTATCGTCAAATGCTTTTATGACAGGATTATCACTGACAAACATACAGCTTATAATTTAGGTGCAACTAAATAATTAATTGCAATTTGGTCTTGCACGAGTCCCCATTAATAATCGAATCTTTGAAGTTATCTATGTTGATTGACTTGACAGCCAATGGACAAAACATTAGGTAGATTAATACTTGTTCAATATATATACACTACGTAGATGGCATGATAGCCAATCATCAAAAAATTTAATATATAACAGTAAGACAAAATATCTAAATATATATAACTAATCTCATTGAGCAAAGCATCTCAAAGTATTATGCAGGTGGTCTTGGATGAGACATGTGTTGAAAAACCAATTTCAACGAGTGCAAAGAGCTATCAATTTACATGGCCGGGGAAGATCAATTGAATGAATAGATGAAGGACTCGCTAATCTAAAAGCTAGCAAGATGGAGGTCGGAAGAGTAATGATTCGCCCATGACAGTTATCGTGGCTAACCGTCAATAAAGAGTTTCAAGAGTATTATCAATATTTCGCTATGTAACTTTTATCTGCTATAAAAATTGTTGAAAATTTGTAACGCCAAACATCTGGACAGCCGGAGAAAATTACGATCAAGAGCACACTGGAATTTCACATGGTTCGGTCCATATGACCTACATCCACAGGAGGGAAATCGACCATCAATCCACTAAGGCAAAAACAAGATTTACACAATTTTTCATTGAGAGATGAGCTCTATTGTCATACTCTCTCGGTCGAACCGACTTGATACAAGATCCTCAAGATACTCACATCAATTTCTTGAAGCTTATTCTCTTCTTTCTCTAACCAACTATTTTCTTTCTTCTCTTGAAACCCTTACCCTCATTATTTATAACTAATAAGCTATCCTCATGTAGACGGGTCCACCAATCTTCTTTCATTCTTTAACAATAAGTGATAGGATTACAATTATGTCATTGTCTTAATTTATAACTTAATTTATAATTAAGAGTCATCATGATAAATATAGAAACAGTAAAATGTTAAAGGGAACCTTTTAGGAGAAGCATAAAGATATATTACAATATTATCTCTCTCTCTCTCCCTATTTGTATATTTTATATTCAAATAAAATCAGATAAAGCTTTTTGGGGATGTTTGTTGGCAGGACACGGCAGTACTGACACATTTGGCGTTGCATCATACCCACCATGTATCAATATATATACATAAATATTTACATGTATACATACATATAGAGAGAGAGAGAGAGAGAGAGAGAGAGAAGTGGGGGGTGATTGTGACCCAGAAAGCAGAAAACATGCATGTGAAACCTGTAGCTGTGCATGGTGAGTGGGGGTGATTGTGACCCAGAGCAGAAAAACATGCATGTGAAACCTGTAGCTGTGCATGGTGAACAACTATAAGATTGGTGGCTCAGCGGTCCAATAATGAAATGGATTGCCAGGTCAGGTGGGGTTTCAGCAGTACAGTACTGCTGCAAGCTTTTCAGCATCTGGACGAAACTATTCCCTTTGGAGACAGAGGTGGTCTCATGGTACGATCATACTGTGCTACTACTTACTGGGATGGTTTCTGAGATCAGTAAGATAGATAAAGTAAATGGCCAAAGTTTTTCAAGGAAGCGGCTTAGCTTTTATTGTGCTGGAATCATTCTTCCTCTTTGGTTCATATCTGCACGGTGATGTGATCTGATCATCGTTATTGTCGTGCAATAATGGAGAAATTATAGTTTCAAGGAGATTTACATATATATCATATCATTTTTATATGAGGCATTTACATGTATACCATAAATTTTCCAAAGTATCTATATGTAAATATCAAACTTTCGGTGTTACATATGTAAATAAGTAAGAATTGTTTGGTCTGTAGGTAAATATCTCTTAAATTTAGAGGGTGATGGGAGACTAATTTAATTTATTCCTAATTGCGCCACTGAATGGAAGGGGTTTTGTACAAATTAAGATCTGTGCTGCCATGTTGATGCCTTGTGGACCACAATTAGAAAAAAGGGGCATTTACAAACATCAATTCTTTTGTATTTACATATCTCAAATCCGAATCTTTATATCTACCCCTCATTTCCTTACTATCACATCAAATCTATCACTAATTATTATTATTGACAGCTCAAAGCCATCTTTCATGCATAAGGAAAATGGTATAGGTGTAGAATATCAGAGCTTTGGTGTGAGATGTAAATTCATAAGAATTTAGTGTTATGTATATAAAAATATGAGATTTAAGTTATTAGTATTTCAGTGAATCTAGATTAGACTTAAGTTATTAAGAAATTAGTTCTAAATATACAGGATTTACTAAATCCTAAAAGAGTTAAATCCTAAAAATAGTTTGGCTAGTTCTGTTAGATCCCAATAGCTCTTTCACCAAGTCTTGTAAATTCTGTAAATCCGCCAATTCGTGAAATTTAATAAATTTGGTTCGTGAAATTCAGATTTATCAAATCCGCGGCATTATTTTGTCCAAAATGATCGTCTGACAATCTTTAGTCTACATCCAAGTTAAATCAGTTGCTAAACAACCCCTAAAATTTTAGACAAATCTGTGCAAAAACAATGGTAATTAATGCTATAATTGATTTAATTAATAACTTTAAACAATTCTTAGGCTTTGTAAGATGGTGCTCGAACGCTTATCCATAAATCCAATTGGGCAAGGATTTGTGCATTTTAAAATCAAAATATTTTTAAAAATAGTATGTTAACAATCAATTTGTGGGTGTAAATTTTTTGTTTGTTGTGTGGAGTTGAAAATGAAATAGTACATCTCTACTCAAACAAAAACGCATTGTGACTAGCAACAGACCATTGCATGTGCAAGTCTAAATGCTCATGAAAGTAGTGCTTACTATTAAAATATCATTTCAATTCTTATGTATGTATATATATTAACTTTAAATCATATATATACATATATTATTTATATTAACTTTTTTTTATTTATATGTAAGTATAATTAAACCATTTAAACTACAATCAAGTTGATCACATAAAAAAATCAATCAGTATTTAATTTTTTTGATAAATAAACTCGTAAAAAAAATGTAATTGTACTCTCTCCCCTATAAATAAAAAGATCATTTCATGAACAATAGATAGACACATCACGATTGATACGGTGTAATGTTCATTAATATTCTTTCGTTCTATTTCTTGAGGTGTGATTCATGAACAAAACAGGATTCAATGATATCACTTAAAATTACGATAGTTTTGATGTAATATGAAAGATAGGACTGATATAAATTTAAAAAGTATAGATAACACACATAAATACGTAAAAGCAAAATGAGTGGTATGTATGCAAGTAAGCAAATGCACACTTTTTAATAAATCACAACATTCCAATACTGAATCAACTTTTCTGCACAACATATTGTCAGCACAGCCAGCAACACTAACTTCAGCCAGTGATTGGACCCTCCAGCCACGCACTGCAAGAAAAATCAAACCCAAAACAAAAATAATAATATTAATAAGGAGAGCTGATCCGTTATTGGTTGAAGCCTGCTTCAAATCATGATCATATCTGCAGATTCTCAATCCAACTCTTCCTTCTCTCTCCCTCTAACTCTATTTTCCTTCCGCAAGATAAAGACGTAGCGAAATATAAAAAAAGGAATAAGATAAACGAAGAATAGGAAGGGTAGATAAGCTTTAGGAGCCACAACAATGCTGAGCATTGATCAAGTCAATCCATCATCCCTCACTTCCATCACTAAGAAGCAGTACCCTCTTTCCGCCGCCATGAAAAGGACAAGCGACTGGTATTAACCTTCTTCTTCTTCTTCTTCTTCCTCCTCTGGATTCTCTGTATGGTGTTATTTGATCTTGTTTTGGGGTAGTAATTTGTGAAGAAGTGCTAACGGTATTGCGTTAATATGTAGGATTTTTGCGCAGGATTTGCCCTGCGACATTACTGTCCAGGCAGGAGGTGCAGCTTTCTCCTTGCATAAGGTTGGTCTGCAGTTCTCTCAGATAAAATCATTATAAGTTGTAGAAAGTTAATTAAAAATAAAGAGTTTGTAGATGATTATCATTCGGTCTTTTTGGGTGAATAAAGTTGTTCGACAATTGAAGTTATAAAATGTTAGATTCACAGAGGAGGATAAAAATTAATTTTTGAGTTCTGTTTGAGGTAGCTTTTTCATAGCATTTCTTTTAAATAGTTGTCATAAAGCTTTCTACAATCAGAAATTGTTTTTGAAATATGAAATGATTATAATACTCACAATTATTTTGACAAGTTTACATTTTTACCAAAGTTTTAGAAAAAAAAAAGTTGTATTTTAGAGATTGAATCAGAATGGAGTTGAACTCCATGATTTTGTTTTTTAAGAACGTTAGTTGAACTGGTAATAAAATTGAGTTGGATTTACTTAAATCTCATAAGGTTGAAAAAATGATAAATTTAAAATTTTGGATTCAGTAAATCCACTGTTTTCTCAATTTCTTCTGTTTTACTTGAAATCAAATCTTCCTTTCATGGCTCTTACAATACTGTAACTGCAGTTTCCTCTCCTATCTAAATCTTATCAGTTTGAAAAAATGATAAATTTTAAATTTTGGATTCAGCAAATCCAGAGTTTTCTCAATTTCTTCTGTTTTACTTGAAATCAAATCTTCTTTTCATGGCTCTTACAATACTGTAAGTCGGTAACTGCAGTTTCCTTTGCTATCTAAATGCGGATATATAAAGAAGCTTTTGTCTGAAACCAACGAGACTAAACAACACTCCATTGAGATACCCGACATTCCTGGTGGTTCAGAGGCCTTCGAGCTCGCCGTCAAGTTCTGTTATGGAATAAACTTTGAAATTAACACTGAAAATGTGGCCATGCTTCGATGCGCATCTGAGTTCCTCGAGATGACCGAAGAAGTCTCAGTTGGAAATCTGTTGAGCAGAACAGAAGCTTACTTTGAAGAAGTTGTGCTGATTAGCCTCTCAGGTTCGGTCACAGTGCTTCACAAATCTGAGGAGCTTCTTCCCATGGCTGAGAAAGTGAAGTTAGTGAGCAGATGCATTGATGCAATTGCGTATTTGGCTTGCAGTAACAGTCAGTTTTCCACGTCTTCAAAGGCTGATAGCAGCCATGAAAGCTTGAGTTCTTCAACTTCTCAGACGAGAGCTATAATGGATTGGTGGGCGGAGGAGCTAATTGTTCTCAGGATTGATACCTTTCAGAGGGTTCTAATGGCGTTGAAGTCCAGGGGATTCAAACAGCACGCTCTTGGACCAGTTATCATGCTATACGCTCAAAATTCTCTTCGTGGTTTGGTGAGTTCTTATTCTTGTTGTAAATGTTCAGCCTTTATGTTTGTATTATATTTCTATATAAATATCCGCATAAAATACCATTGAAAGATTGAAAAATCCAAACTTTATTTCATTATGCCATTAAAAATTTAACCTTTTCAGTTGTCTTCAGGATATTTTTGGGGGAGGAAGAAAGAAGATTGAGCCGAAACAAGAACATGAAAAGAGGGTGGTACTGGAAACAATAGTGGGTCTGTTACCAACAGAGAAGAACACAATATCTGTCAGCTTTCTCTCAATGCTCTTAAGAGCTGCTATATATCTCGAAACAACAGTCGCCTGCAGGCTCGATCTGGAGAAGAAGATAAGCCTGCAACTAGCGCATGCAGCTCTTGACGATCTTCTGATACCTTCCTTTTCCTTTGATGGAGATATCTTGTTTGATGTTGACACAATCCAGAGAATCTTCATGAACTACCTTCAAAATGAGAATGAATTGAGTCAATTGGGATATAACGCTGATGAAGACTACTTATCTCCGCCTCATGGAGATATTGAGAGGGTGGGAAGGCTTATGGAAAGCTATTTAGCTGAAATTGCTTCAGATCCAAACCTTGGAATTGCTAAATTTGCGAGCTTTGCTGAGTTGATTCCAGAACAAGCGAAGGCGAACGAGGATGATATGTACAGAGCCATAGATATTTACTTGAAGGTAATTCTTAAGACTGATATTCTACAAGTTGATTATATTTATAATATTTAATTCACTATAGACTATAAGATTAGGATGTTTATAAGAAACTTAGTTTCTGTTGGGAGATTTGGTTTCCACTTCAAAAGTTGTAGGCTATAGTTTGTACGTGCATATGGGTTTGCGTGAGAGTTTGAGATTAAGTTCACTTAATGGTCTATTTGATCTGTTGAAAAAACAATACTGTATAAAATGAATATAATACATAACGTAATATATTATATTTAAAATATATTTAAAATTGTTTGATTGACCGTAAAATAACCCAGGATTTTATTTATTTTATTGTTTGATTTGAAATAGATTGAAAATAATGTATTTCAAAATATATAAGATATTATTAACGGGCGATGAGCGACAACCTGTACTGGTGACCGGTAATTGACAAAGGAGACCAGTTACGACAGCGGATGTTGGTGGCAACAGGCAGCAGGTTGCGATCATCGGCCGACGCCTATCTTCAACTGGCGGCTTGCGTCGTTGTTGTTGGTGCTCTTCGTCCTCAGTGGTGCTCGCTGGACACGGGTAGTTATGGCTTCCAAAAGTGACAATTATCAATTATGGTGAATATTTTAAAAAACAATCAAAACATCTAATATTTATTTTAGATTTTTTAAGCACAATGGTTTGTTTTCAAAATAAATAAAAAATAATATAAAAGATTATACAAATAAGTTCTTAAAAACAGAAATAACCAAGCATTCTAAGGCTCCGATTATAGTTGTGTTTCTAGAGGGTTAATATATCTAACCTTAGCCAAAAATGAGGTTATCTCCACATTGAAAACACCATGATTTCTTCCTTCACAATGAACAAACTAAATCCAAATTTCTCAACTTGAGCCTCAACGGTCTAATTTTCAGTATTCAAAATTACTTCATGCCTATAACTCATCAAAGGCAAATAGACAGATTATCAATCTTCATTAAATTAAGAAAGATTTATATACATCACTCTACATACCTAACTGACTAAAAAAATTTAATTATTACATACGTACCCAGCTCACTTATGCATGAAAAGATGTATTTCACATTTAAGAAAGTAAAATGATGGTATTTTTTATGTGACAAAAGATTTCGGTGGTATAGACAATTTAAGTATTAGATTAAATCCATAAAAATTAAAATCCATAGACATAAAAATTAAAATTTAAGTATTAGATTTGTAAATACATATGAATTGAGAGGTATGCATGTAAATACCCCTGTAAATTACCAAACTTACTCTTTCTTCTCCAACTGTCAGGCTCATCAATCACTAACTGAAGCAGAGAGGAAGAAGATCTGCAGCATGATGGACAGTCAGAGACTATCAAGGGAGGCCTGCGCTCACGCAGCTCAGAACGACAGGCTTCCTGTTCAAACAGTCGTTCAGGTTCTCTTCTATGAACAGCAGCGCATCAGAGATTCTACTCCTCCAAACTTCATCGGAGGAGGAGATTCTCCAGTTCCATTACACAAATCAGGTTACCTCAGCGATCACCATGATTCTACTCATGAGCTCTCACGCCTGAAGAGTGAAAACGATAGTCTTAAACTCGAACTGGTAAGGATGAGGATGCAGATGAAGGAGAATGGAAAACCTGCTCCTGCAACAAAGATGGCTTCTGCTGATAAACCACCGTTGCCTAAGAAATCATTCATGAGTTCTGTATCGAAAAAACTCAGCCAGCTTTATACCTTTGTTCGATCAGAAACTTTGAAGGAGCAGGGTGAGAAAACAAGGATGAAACCACAGAAAAATCGGAGATATTCGATCTCTTAGAATTACTGCTTTGTTCAAATGAAGAAAATTTTAAGCATGTTGGTAGTTAGCGTTGTCTGCATTTAGCTATGTTTAGAAGGAGATGTATTTATTTTCCAACTTATTTATGTAAATATTATGTGAGGTTTGATTAAGGTTCAGCTTCCTCTAGATCTGTTTCTAGTAGATTTAATCTATATTTAGCTTGGTTGTCTCCTTTGTAAATAAAGATGGTTGTATTGAGTTAAACTATATTGGAATGTTTCCAAAGTCCAAAGTGAACTTGATTCACTCACAGCTCTCACTTCACTCTTTACACTCAGTTATGCATTTTGTGTGGTTTATCATGCTTGCTAGAATTAGCAAATCGTGAGCATTTTTTTTTTACTTTATCTTAAAACATATTGTATGAGAATAATGTTGACATCTATATGGAAATTCACAATATGGATTGATAAGACACTACAAAATTGAGCGACAACAAGCATAATGCAAGCAATTTGTCCCAGATTAACTTGATGCTCATTGAAATGAAGTCAACTTCCTCTTTCTTCTGCTTCTTCTACCCTTCACCATTTCCATTAAGCTACTAACAGAGTGTTCATGGGTTCCTTGTCCTGGCAACTCAATGCCTTCATCAGCAAGGGATGATTGATAGGTTTCCTCTTCATTGAACTCATCGACTCCTTCAGCAGGGAATGGTTGTTGGGTTCCATATTCGTTGAATCGAATGTCTTCGGCTACAGAAGAGGACTGCTGGGTATACTTTTCTTTCAATTCCTTGCCTTCGTCAAATTTTGTTTGCCCTGTTTTTTCAACAGTACTCTGCAGTCCTAACATTGCCTCTTGTATTTATTGTATTGAGTGCTCCTCGGAATTCCCTAAACCCTTTCTCCTGAGCTCTTAGTAGCTCGATGATTACTTCAAGGCTTTGATTGATTCCAGCTTTTGCTAGCTCTAGGGTGATGTTGCTCGAGACGAGTGTTCCCACATCATATGCCACGGGTGATTGTGATTTGCCTTGAGGTTCTTGGTGCGGAAATGGCCTTACCGGACTGGGTAATCCTACGCCAGGATTGGCCAGCAAATGACGTTCATCCTCTTTCAAATCCAAAAGTTTATCATGAATTTACAATTTAATTAAGAGTTACGACACATTAATAGGTTGAACTTCAATTATAAAACTTATAAAAAATATTAGAATAACACATGAATACAACAAATGTTAAACAAGTATACTTCTACAAACAACGAGAAAGTTACCCATTGATTTAAATCACTTATTGTGTGTTGGACTAAGCCTCTTGAAGGTTATGTCAATTTGCAACGAATTCCAGCTTACATCGGTTGGCCACCTCAATATTCTAGGTCTGGCCTCAGGATCGACAGGAGTGAACAAAGTTGTATGCTCGTAAAACTAGAGCTGTGTAAAAGTAATGTCATATTATGTTTTTGAACAAAATAAATGAAGTTTTATGAGGTTCATACGATACACTAACGATTAGGAGATTAAAAAAATCATTTATATATTCCAAAGGTCGATTATGTCTTATATTAATGGCTACTGCATTGATTTGCTCAACGAGGAAATCACATAACGCAACAGACCAATTAAATGAATTGAAAATCTGTACATTCTCAGCAAAAGTATAAATCTCTTTGGAAACACTAAAGTTATTAGAAAGGGAAAATAACTTTTAATAATAACTTAAAAAACAATTCATCAGAAGGTGTAGAACACTCTTCGCTTGAAACATTCAATATGTCATTCTTAATTTGTCGTGCATCCACACTGGAAGAGGGCACTTTCCACTTCGCCGCTTTTCCTCTATTCGGCATGTTTATTAGAAGAGCAATTTCATCAGAGCTTATTCTAAGATCTTTCCCGCCCATTATGAACACCATTCGTTCATATTGTCAATAATTTAATATTTGCAGTGTCAGTACATTGTCTTGAGGATATGAATGGAGATAAAAAAATTGATCAACATCCAATAGTCTCAAGTTATTCCTTGTCTCCTCTGAAAGGCTAGACTTGACCATATCAAGAATATCTCTTACAAACCTACAAAAAGTTAATGCAATTGTTATTCCTTGTCTCCTCTGAAAGGATAGACGACAACAACAATTGAAGGATCTTGAGTTCACAAACCTTCAAAAAGCTAATGCAAAAAATATTGTCAATTGGCTATCTATAAATCAAGAACCCAAATACAACAAAAAAAAATTACACCCCAACAACATCAAAACAAATTAACGTGTTATTCAAGTTTTATTAAGATATTTTTTTAGTGTTATTGAGTCGTTATTATGGTTTTATCATGGTGTTATTAGGGTGTTATTATGGTGTTGGTGTTATTATGGTGTTTGTGTTATTATGATATTATTTTAATATTATTTCAGTATTATTATGATTTTTTTACGGTGGTATTTTAGCGTTACTTATGCGTACCGAGACATTATTTTTGCATTCATTATGGTGTTATTTCGATATTCTTTAGGTCTTATTGAAGTGTTTTGTATTTTTTTTTTTTTGTGATAATTGGATGGTTTAAAATATGCACTAAAGCACTATATAATACAATGTTAGATTTTGAGTTCAACTACAACAAGAAAAGATATTACCTCGATGTGCTTTCATGACTGTTGAGCTCTTTGGTCTTCTTCTTCATCTTTTTGACCTCTTCTGCTCTGTAGTTTTCATCTTCTTCGGAACTTCGGTCTCCTCGGTGGCCTGGTTCGCTTCCATTTTCATGTGAAGAGGAGACTCGAACAGGATGAATGGCGATTTCGAGTGCAAATCCTAGAACGTGCGACGATTTCTCTTGCCGAAGGGGGAATGAGCGATAGGGGGGGTGGAGGAAGAAGAAATACTCGGGCATGCGTGCGACGGTTTCTCTTACTAAAGTATATTGTCATTTTCTTTCGGTGGTTTAAATTTCGATCGATTGGGAGGGGTTCAGGTCGGGCAGCGTGTGATTAAATAAGCAAAAAAGTGATAAAACATACATTTTTTCGTCGAAAAATGTTGAATCGGGTCAGGCCGAGTGATTAAAATCACTGTGTTTTTTTTTAGGGGTGGGGCCGACACAAACACGTGTCATTATTTAATTCGAATCCGGACGCGACTCTGAGTCCTGACTCCGGACCGAATAATCTTCCTCCCTAAAACTCTTTATCCAAGAAAAAGAGAGAGAGAAAGAGAGACGTTTATGTGATAATTCATTGACTTCTTGATCTCATTTCATGGTTATCGTCACCGCCCCACAAGCAAAAGTATAAATGCAGGGGAAATTTTAAGTGCTTGTTTGGGTTATTCCAACTCAACAGAGAAACTGGGCTTGTATCATATTTAGGCAAGTTATTGAAAGCCCATACACATGAGATCGATGGGATTAGAAGTTCCTTTACAATCATACTGACTTACAATACTGACCACCATGTCTTATAGACTGTAGGCAGACTAGGCACCCCAATGCACCCCCTAAGTGGGGATGATGCCGAAGGGTAACTGAAATTTCAAGTGATTTAGACCTACAAATAATTTAAAATATGGACTATTTAGACTTTAATAATGACATATAAAAAAAATATATATATGTTACAAAATACAAATTAATAACTGAGATTACAGTTCAATTCATTTCAAAAGAATAAAATACTTTAGACTTATATAAGAATAATGAAAAATTGAATTGCTCGCCAATTAATGTGATTGAATTTTTCCTTGACTTCAAATATGATTAGAACTTAAATATATAAATTGGGGTTAATTAAGCACTTCAATGTCATTTTAACTATTAAACAAAAATTTAATATGTCATCTTACCATTTGATTCGCAATACATCTGCTAGCGAACAGAAGATGAACTTTTGAAAAAATCAAAATGTGATTTTGGGCACACTATAAAGATAAAATATTCATAAAAGTTTTTAAATAACTTCTATACTTGACAAATTTTAAGGTGATACTCAACATGAAGGTGATATCTTGAGATTTATCTGAATTCTCTAAGGTTTGTGCAAGTAGTAGTTCAAATGTTTTCAAGCTATATATATTCATTTTAACAAATGACACATTTATACAGATAAAAAAATTCAAGACTTGCATTGACATTTCAAGGAATTTTCTTAACTCTAATATAATGCCATAAAAACGTGCAAGTATTTTAGTATGTTGAATGTCCTTTTACATTTCAAAAAGCACAAAACTCTAGATAATTGCATGATATGTGTGCCAAAATCTATGCAATTGTGTTAACCAAATGTATTAAGATGCATGAATATTAGCAAAATCAGTTTCAATGGGCTCTGACGACCTTGTTAAGCAATTAAACTTGTTCTTGTTGAGATGCTATGCGGATTAAACTAAAATTACTTTGAAATATCTTGCTTTAAAAAACGCACAACTAAAAATGCTTGCATGTTCTCTAATTTGTATGTTAAATTTCGAATTACAAGATTTGAAATGTTGCAAAGGCTAACTTAAAATCAAATGTAAAATATCCGCATGTGTTCGAACGAATATATATAATGCTCGAATATTGGGTTCGAGAATATTGTGCAGGATAACTTAAAATCTTATTTCAAAGAACTGCATGTGCTCCACCAAAATGACTAAATGTCTAAACTAAAATAACTTGAGAATGTTGGTGCAAGTGAGATATTAACTCAAATTGATCTCATTTTAAAAGTGTACAAATTTCTTTGTTAACAAGTCTACGGTTATTATAAAATTATCAAATCTTTTTTTAAAAACAACTTCAAGACAATTAAATTATCCAAGTTCCAAATTAGGCTGCATTGTCTATATGGCAATGTTGTTAGTCCTACTAGTCTGATCCTCCCGTCTTAAGGGCGAGAGTTGACGAGTTTAATAATTTCAATAATATATGAATGACAAGTATGAAAATTTATAAGTCCAAATCATCTTGTCCATCATTCCCATAAATACTAGAGTTAATAAGACTAATATTTTAAAGATATTAAAATGACAAATTTCAAATAAATTGCAAATATAAGTGTTTAGAACATTCAAATCTCTGATAAACATCACGTTGACAGAAGATATCCACCGGAGGGGTCTAGTTTCAAATTAAGTTCAAAAGAATATTTGAATAAGCTTAAATGATTTAGGTTATGATTGAACCCAATTTTCTATAAACGGGACAATTGAAAAGGTTGAAAGCTATTTAAATCCTTGATGTTGATTGTGTAGACTTAAAATTTCAACAAGATTGGTCAATTTTAAATCAACCATTTCAAATCAAATTTTAAAATAACAAATCAAAACATCCAAGTTAA